CGGCCTCGTCGCCTGCCACCCGTTGCAAAGAGCTGGGGCTGGCCGCCGCTGCCGCCTGGGAGCAGCAGGGCCGGAGCCTCTTCCTGGCCAGCATGGGGCCCTTGCGCTTCCTGGGGCCGCCGGCCGCCGCGGAGCTTTTCCAGGGGCTCCCGTCGCAGGCTGAGTACCCCATGCCCCCCGAGATCGTGTGCAAGCGGAAGGGGGTTGGGATTCCCGACTACAGCTTTTGCGAGCAGCCTCTCTGCGGCGGCGGGGGAGGACCTGTGGGGGGAGGTGCCTCTCTGATGCAGCCGCTGGATGCAGGATGCTGCCAGGCCCTGGAGCAGCCCCTGTCACCGCTCGGCTCCAGGCCCACCTCTCCTGCCTCAGAGTGTGACCTCCTTGGAGCCGCCGGGGACAACCTCCGAGCTGGAAGCATCGCCCACTGGCTCGCCCAACAGTCTGAAGTCCGCGACGCGGAATGTCAGAAGATCCCCGAAAATCCCTGCGACTATCATAGGGAGCCGCTCCCCGAAGCCCTAGACGTTAACCAGCTGCCGGGGTCCATCGTGCTTGAGGTGGATCTGGATGATTAGGCCCAGTCCCCCCCCCCCCCCCCAATCCCCGGCCCCCGCCCTCCCGAGGCTTTCTCCCCTCCCCCCATCCCCCGCCCCCTTGTGCACGGAGGAGCGGGGTTTCTTGGCAACCGGGGATGCCTAAAGGGGAGACTGGGAAGCCGCTAGGCCCTGTGCTTAAGGCCCTGTTTTGAAGTAGAAAAGCTTGGAGTCTGCTGAATGCCTTGTAGTAGATTAGATCTGTTCTCACAATTCAGGATTCATTCATTGCATTAGCAAATCCTGATATAGAAACTATTAGATTTCTGTGGAATAAATATATGCACATTTGAGCAATTTATATTTGGTGGGTAACAACTTTACATACTGGTGTTTGAACGTTTTCAAACTGTTTTCAGGTTTGATAGCTGCTAGTTAGTGCCAATAACTTGCAATTAAGCATGTACCGTGATCAATCACTGTATCAAAGCTTTATATATACAAATCTCATGGATTCCTCCATTTGATGCTCTGTGACAAGTCCCGTTAATATTTCCTGTATTCAAAAAGCAACTGACATTCCAGAGGTTTACAGATGGCTCACAGTAGTGAGCCAGGAAGACGACGGGTTTTCGTTTTGTCTTGTGAAACTAACAATCTAGATGGACTTAAAATGGTTGAATGAACTGGTTCAAGGCCATACTTGTAAACTAAAAAGCAAATTTGGGTCTTGGACTAGGGAATTTTGGCCCGCTTGACTTGAAAAAAATAACTGTTGTGTATGCTGTTGTTTTTCCTTCTTACATTCTTGCCTTTATATGCAATGAATTATCAGAAGTCAGAATTCTTTTATGTTGGGGGGTTGGGTGCGTGAAAAAGTGAAGTGCCTGGGGAATTTTGTGTCACTGTCAATTACTAAGTAAAATCTCCTGCTTTATCAGAGCTAGGGACAACTCTGTGATAGTTTACACTAAGTTATTTGCTCCCTTGTTTTCTGTCTTTGTTCCCATGCCTTTTCCTGAAGACAAAAACATAAGAACTTGACTTTTCAGTGTGGAAGATATTTAAATGAGACTACTTAGGACTAATCTTCAGGAGAACCTGGCTACTTTCATTGTTACTGAATTAACTGCCAATGAATTGTAAATGTTACTGTCACATCAGTGTACTTACTTGAGTAGACTTTTAACATATGTGTAATTATGTGTTTGGATCTGTTTTACTGTGACATTGATGTTCTTGTGAACAATACAGCAAAAAATCAGACAAGTTTCCCATTTTCTTGTGTCAAAATGTAGTGAGATAATTATTATGAAGGTGTATTTGCAGGAGGGATAATTACTTTGTGTGTTCAGGGGATGAATTTTAGGGCAGAGGAAACTTTCTCAAGTCCTTTAAATCACTGAATGGTATTGGATATACATATATTTAACATATATTCAATGAATGTTGAATATACATATATTCAACAAAAATAGACAAAGCACAAATAAATGACTTCTTAATGATGCAACTCAAAAAATTGTAAAAATAAAAATGAACCAAGTCTAAAACAGTAAGATGTAATAAAAATCAGAGCAGAAACTGGTAAAATAGAAAACAGTACAAATAATCAACAAATCTAAGAGCTGGTGCTCTGAGAAGATTAAAAAAGATTGCAGGCTGCTGACCCAACTAAACAAAAGGAAGACAGGACCCACATTAACAGAATCAAAAGTGATCAGGGAAAAAAATTACAATGAACATTAAAGAAATTCAGAATATTATAAAGAAATACTTTAAAAACCAGTAATCCATTAAGTTGAAAATCCTAAAAGAAATAGGTGAATTCTGATTCAGCTAAACTACCAAAATTAAAACATCAAGAAGACAACCTAAACAGATCCATAACAAATGAGATCAAAACAGTAATGAGAAGCCTTCCAACTAAAAAAATCCCAGACACAGGTGAATTCACAGCAGAATCCTATCAGGTCTTCAAAGAAGATCTATAAGCAATCCTTAAAATTAAATATATATTTATTAAAATTAAATATAAAAAATTAATATATTTTAAAATAATTTTAATTATTTTAAACAATAATAAATACATATATTTAATTATGTGCACATACATGAGTGCACACACACACACACACACACACACACACACACACACAGAGAGAATACTTCCAAACTTCTTTTACAAAGCCAGTATAATTCTAAAATCAAACAGGTAAAGACAAAACTAAACACAAAAATTGCAGGCCAATATCCCTGATGACTGTAAATTCAAAATGCTTCACATACATAAAAATGATTATCCACCATGATCAAGCTGGCTTTATCCCTGAAATGCAAGTTAATAAATGTAATAAAAAGTGGGGATAAAGACAAAAATCACACGATCATGTCAATATATGGCAGAAAAGCCTTTGATTAAAGTCCAACATGCCCACCATGATAAAAGTCCTGGATGAAGCAGAACTAAAGGGAACATACCTCAGCATAATAAAAGCTAAATATGATAAGCCCACAGCTAAGATAATCCTAAATAGAGGAAAAATTTGAAGCAATCCCACTGACATTGTGTATGAGACAGGGCTGTCCACTAGCTCCATTTTTTTTTCAACACTGTGGTCAAAGCACTAGCTGGAGTAATAAGGCAAGAGAAGGAAATAAAAGGGATACAGATAGAAAGAGTCATCAGATGTAACACGAGGGCCTGCTTGTTGGGGTTTCTGTCCTGCCCAGTCCCCACAGTCTTTAGGTCTCAAAGAAAGTCACACAGAGAATCTACATTAGATATAAACTGATTGGCTCATTATCTCAGGCTTCTTATTAACTCTTACAACTTATTTTAGCCCCTATTTGCTGATGACATAGTATTATATATGAGATTCAAAACCAGCCAACTTCTAGAAACAAGCAAATGCATCATTGTGGTAGGATACAGAGTCAACTTGCACAAATCAATAGCTTTTCTACAAAAACGTCCATAGAAAGAGATTATGGACACACTCTCATTCATAATAGCCTCAAAGAAAATAAAATATCTAAGAATAAGTCTAACCAAGGAGATTAAAATACCTTTACAATGAAAACTTCAAACCTATGGGGGAGACACACACACACACACACACACACACACACACGCATGCAGAGAGAGAGAGAGAGAGAGAGAGAGAGAGAGAGAGAGAGAGAGAATGGAAACACACCCCATGCACATGGATTGGTAGAATTAATATTGTGAAAGTGATAATTTTACCAAAAGCCGTTTGTAGATTCAATGCAATCTCAATCCAAATCTTTATCTCACTCTTCATAGAAATAGAAAAATAATTCTAAAGTTCTTATGGAGCTACAAAAGACCTATATAACCAAAACAACCCCAAGCAAAAAGAACAATGCTGCAGGGATTACCATTCTAATTCTCAAATATATTACAGAGTCATAGTAATAAAAACAACATGGTATTGACAGAAAAACATGTGAATACCAATGGAACAAAATTGAGGACCCAAATATAAGTCCATGTAACTTTATCCATTTAATATTTGGTAAAGAT